ACTGACAAGGCTATTAGGAAAATCCTCCAGAAAATATTAGATGGAAAAGAACAGTCTTTAATTTACAGCCAGAGTGTGGGTGTTTTGCTATCGGCAATTAATAAGGCTGTACTTTATATACACTGCTGCATTAGGAAACTGCCTTAGTCATTGTATAAGCTAATTTTATCTTAACCCCACAGAAACAAAACCCAATTTAATGTTAGTCCTGTCATTCCCAGTATGTTTTATAACATGGCCCTCAAATGTCATCCAATCTGACTTTAAGATAAACAGAGCTCTGTGTTCCTCCTATTGTTTCACCTCTAATTGTTCTGGAGTAGTTACTGTGGGGTTCTTGGTGGTTTCTTGCACCACTTGACTCACTTCATTACCAAACTAGATAAGATCATCAGTGCCAAGAACCCCACAGTTCAACCCTGAGCTATAAATATTCTCTTCTGTTAGACTAGTTATTTTTTTAGAGGGATAGGGTATTAACTTGTTCCAACTCCTATTTTCTTTATGCATTGCATAAATTTTGAAGACTATTTTGGAAGATCACCTACATTTCGTCCAATTATGGAAATACAGTATGCTGTTCTGCTTTAAGATACCAAGAATATAGAGTCAGAGATAGAAGAGAAGGCAACTAATAAACATAGACATTCGAAGTCCACCCCTGAAGAATCATTATGTCTAGATTTTAAGATTATAGAGTTACTACACAATCTCCGCCCCTCCCCAGTTTGAAAACACAGAATTTTGTGTCCATCTTGCAATTTTAAAATATCCATAAACCTGTGGAAGAACTTTAGACTTCCATGGTGTCCTTTATTTCTTTATTTTACTCTTTAACCTTCATGAGGTTCTTTCACCCAGAAAGGCAGTGGGATTTACAGCCTAGAATTCTGTTTCCAAAGGGAAAACATTGCTGGATCTCTCCAGAGTACAAAATCAGGGTCCCAAAGTTGCAATTTGTAGTTGCAGCAGAGGACAAAAGAAGTGATGCCTAAGACAATTCTGTGGAAAGATGCAGATCCTGGAATGAATCATACCAGTTCATGTTGTCAGCAAAATGGGTTTGGAAGAAGTGGTAATAGTTCTATCCTGCAAGGTGACAGTTTATAAATAGTGCTGAATTTCCCCTCCACATCCTGATAGAGACTATTGCATATCTTTACCCTCAAGTTCCAAATACAAGAGATTTTCATCTGTCAGGAGCAAAGCTGGTTGGAAATTTTGAATAGACCATGTCAATCACTTGGGAAGACCTAAATTGAGAAAGGTGGCTGGGGTTGAGGTGGGTTCATCCTTCGCATCAAAACCATCTTAGGTGTGTGTGGTTGGATCTTTGTGTGCCGTATGAATCTGTTGCAGTCTATCAAGTGAGTTTTGTTCACTCATCTGGATTGCTGAACTCAGTCCTGTGGATCATTTAGCCTTGGTTAATTAAGCCATGGTTTGGCATTCTGGCTGATCCCACTCTGATGATAACACAGCTGGTCTTCCTTGCTGCCCTAAGAAGAATGTATGGTCAAAGAGAAGCAGCAGGAATGGAGGGCAGGGGAGCCTGGGCTGACCATCCACCCTCCCTTCTTCTCCCATCCCAGAGGTTTCCACATTTGGCCTGCAGAATTCCAAGGCACCTTTAGAGCAGGAGTCTCCAACCTTGGCAACTTCAAGCCTGGCGGACCTAAACTCCCAGAATTCCACAGCCAGCGAAGCTTCAAGTTGCCAAGGTTGGAGACCCCTGCTTTACAGGGCTGCAAAATAAAGAATTCTCTTTGATGCCCCCTAGTGGCCGCTCAGGATCGCGCACATAGCAGCCCGGCTGCGGGATCCGCCGAGTTGCCGGTGCGGGATTCGGCGTGGATGGGCGGCGAGGCGGCCCCCTCCGCTTTCCTCCTGTGTGCGTGCCGCGTGTTAGAAGGCTGACGTTTCAGACAAAGGTGGACAGCGCGCGATTCTTTTTCAAACGAAGCCGAGAGGGTGGACAGAGAGACGGCGGCCTGGTTTTAGCCTGTTCTTGGGGACCGGATGATGATTAAAACAAAGCCAGCCGAAGAAGATCATTCCCACCTGTCCCGGGAAGACAGACGGTGGAAGTCAAATTCGGAGGAGCGGGGGCACCAAAGCTCCGCGAGCGCGAATGACGGGGCGCCCAGGCGAAGCAGGAGAACCTGCAGAAGGCTGCGCCTTCCCACGCTCCGTCGCGCGCACACGTGTCTGCAGCAACAGCGGCTCTTGTGACAGCGCGGCGAAGAGCCAGCGGCAAATTTTCTGCGATGAGGCCGGGAACGGAAGGCGAGAGAAGACGGGACTCGTATTGCGGGATCTAATTCCTCGCGGGGGCGGACGCGCGTCGTCTTTGTCGGCGCCTCTCCCGGGCGCGTTTCTTCCGAAAGGAAAGCGGAGCGAGGCCTCTGATGGGTGGGAATGGCGGGGACCCGCCTTGCTTAGCGTCCGTCTCTTGCCTTGCCCAAGCACCGCTGCCAGGAGTGGGGTAGGGGCTTGCTGGCAGCTGTAGCTGCCTTCACCAGATGGTGGTGGGGTGTGTGTATGTGTGACCGTGGAGGAAGAGAGCCCGGCTAGTCTACGGGACGCAGAAATCCGGTTGCGATTCTCCAGTCTGTGATCCCCAGGCATCAGAGGCTGCTTTCAGACTTCAGCGGTGGGATACATTTCAGGAGCCATTTCTGTGGACATGAACGCAGAGTGGGGCCTTTTGAACAGACTGGGATTCCTGAGGAGAAAAGAGCTTTTGGTCGTGGAGCAGGGTTCATGCTTCCCTCTGAACCGGGGAGACCCAGGTTCCGCTCCTCCTCAACCACGGAAGTTTGGGTCACTCCTTCTTTGCCAATCCAACATATCTCAAGAGAGGAGGGGGTGTTGTGGGGAAAATGTAGAACTGTTGAGTTGTTAAGAGGACAGATGAGATTAAAGCAAACACCATCTAGTATTTAGATCAGTGTTTCTTAATCCTTTTTTGCTCGAAAGACCCTTTCCAACCTTTAAAACTCGTGGGAACTCCTAAAAAAGCTTGTTTGTATGGGTTAGATTAATCAATATTTACCATATTAAAAATTAAAATTGATTCATAAGATATTTTTTGAACGAACAATGTTCATTATTTATTTATTTATTTATTTATTATATTTCTATACCGCCTTTCTCCCATAGGACTCAAGGCGGTGTACAGTCAAGAAAAATATAGACACACAAACATCATAAAATTGCTAATTAAAATTGTTACTTAGTTTGGTCAATTAAATAAAACCCAGAATTAGATAACATTTAAAAAATCATTCGCATGTTTGTATGTTTAGCCCTGCCTGTTGGAACATCAGGGTCTTGAGGGCACGGCGGAAAGCACGGAGATCAGGGATATTCCTGATATCTCTGTATCTCTGGGGGCAGTTCATTCCAAAGGGTTGGAGCCCCCACAGAGAAGGCCCTCCCCCTGGGAGTTGCCAGTCGACATAATTTGACTGACGGTACCCTGAATAGTCCCTCCCTGTGAGAACGAACTGTGGGAGGCTATTGGTGGCAAAAGACGGTCTCGTAGGTACCCAGGTCCTAAGCCATTTAAATAAAATAAAAATGTTAAACCCTTAAAAAAACCCTGTACTGTTAAACAAATAAACATGTAACAATAAAAAGTAACAAAGTAAAGTATAGGTAGTCCTCGATTTACAATAGTTTGCTTAGTGACCATTCAGTTACAATGGCACTGAAAAAAGTGACTTAAAACCATTTTTCATATTTATGACCATTGCAGCATCCCCATTGTCATGTGATTTACATTCAGCAGCTTGATAACTGGTTCATATTTATGATGGTTGCCATGGTCATGTGTTCCCCTTTTGCAAACTTCTGACAAGCAAAGTCAGTGCGGAAGCCAGATTCACTTAACAACTGTGCTACTAACTTAACAACTGTGGCAAGAAAAGTCATAAAATGGAACAAACTTGACAAATTTCTCACTTGGCAACATAAATTTTGGTCTCAATTGTGGTTGTAAGTCAAAGACTACCTGTACTTTCGGAATAGTCATTCAATCAACTGGGGGTCTTGCCAAAAATGAGAAATATGGATTTACACAATTGTATGAAACTTGGAGCTATATTTTGCCTGGGGCTTGCCCATGGGTGACATCTGGAGCAATTGCAGCTTTAGTGTTGAATACAAATGCAGGTTGATGATGGTGATGAATGTTAGCTTCCAGAAAAGGATAGCAGCCTGAGAAGGACTTAGTGTACCCTTGGTCCTTAGGAGATACCCCTTCTGATGCATGGGACTACAACAGTGGTGAAATCTGGCCAGATATATCCGGTTCACGCAAACCGAGAGCACCAGTGACAGGAGCCTCCGCCCACCTGCCAGGACATCATTATGTCCCGTTTTTGACCCTCTGCGCATGCGCAGAAGAGGTGCGGGTGCTCACATTCCCGAACCGGTAGCGAAGGTAAGTGCATTTCACCACTGGACTACAACCTCCATTGGTTGCTGCTTCTGCTGGCTGGAAGGTATTATAGCTATAACCCACACATCTGAAAGTTACTTGGTTGGGAAAGGCTGGTTAATTTTGGGGAATTGGGAAAGTAATTTATTTCCAGAACTGTCTATTCAGCCCAGTTGCTTAAGCTCCTTTCCTTTCTCTTCTCCTCTGATACAAGAATAGTTTTTGTCTGATACATTTATGTTTTATTGTTTATTTCATGTGGAAGAAACTAACTCAGGGACTTTGATTTCTTCCTAAGGGAGAACATGCAAGCATGAAAAAGAACGGAAACAAGAAGCATGACAGTTCCTCCTCAAAGAACTCTAGGTACTGATCTGGGACAGAGGTACAGGATGGACATCCCAGCTTCCTGAAACAGCTTCCTCCCAGCTGTTTCAGAAGCTGCGCCTGAATGACTTGTAAGAGTTAAATAGAGATGAAGTCGTCTTTGGGGTTCAAAAATATCTCCTCCCCATGTTCCTTTAAGTGGCCAGGTTGAAGTTATCTTGACTGCCAACTCCCTTGCCATGGGTGTTTTGCTAAACAGAAACTCTGACTTTCTTCTTGGGTTCAACATTTCATCTGGAACTCCTACACCACTTGTAGTCAACCAGTCTCTGAAGGACAGTGAACTGGTGCAGCCATATTCAGAGGGCACCCAAGCGGATGACAACTCTCCGGGTCCAGCAGTTTCCTTAGTGCTTCCCATCATCTATGCCTTCATCTGTGCCTCGGGTGTCCTGGCCAATGGGCTGGTGATGTCAGTGGTCCTGGGCTGCAAACAGAAGGTTGCATCGGACATCTACATTCTGAACTTGGCCACGGCTGATCTGCTGTTCCTGCTTGGCATGCCTCTCATCATCCATCAGCTGCTTCAGGAGCGAGGCTGGTATTTGGAGACTTTCTGTGTTCGGCTGCAACTACCATTGATCTCAATAACCAGTTCAGCAGTGTTAGGTGTTTTGTGCCAACCATGGCAGTCTCTTCAAAGGCCACCAAATGGGGGCAAAGAGGCACCTTTGATCCCACTGGTGGGTCAAGGGGCTCCGGCCCCTGCAGCCCCATTGGGGAAAGTTAATGGCCCTCCGGCCCCCTCACACACCTTGTAAGGGAGGGGCCAGGGGCCCCTATAAGAACCCCTGCACAGGGGCTGCTCCTTCCCTTTCCTTTTTTACCCTTTCCCTTTTGCCTGCTCTTGTTCTAGTCTCCTATGGGACTGACCCATGGGCTCAATCCAGACATGGATGCCTCCATGCCTGGGACCTTATTTTACCCCACTTTTACTTCTAAATAAAGACTTAATTTGATTGCATCCTTGCGTGCTGACCTTTTCTTGGAAGCGCCCTCAACGAACCATCATTCTTCGTGAGATCCCTCACAAAGTGGTAGCAGAGGATGGTTTGAGGCAACGCTTCCAAACCAGCAGAAGCAAGATGCCAGGAGGTTCCAGCAAGAACCCCCAAGAGATGGATGGCAGGACTTCCCCGGTCATGACCAGGAGTCTCGGAGCAAGGTTGGCAGCCCTGCATCCAGTCCCTGATGCAAGCTTTGATCCAGAGGAGGGTACAGATGATCTCTATGCCCCCAGAGGACCCAGCGGAATGCAAGGGACCCTTTTGCATGCTTCCTTGCAGCTGCAAGCCACAGAGGAAGGCATGGAAGACCAGCAGTCCACCCAGGACTGCCAGGACACCGGGGAGGAGGCCAGGGACAAGGCCACCCCCAGCGTAGACCAGCTCACTGGTGAGGAATGCAGAGAGCTGCTACGAACGCTCCTGGCAACCCGAGGGATGCCAGGAGCCCAGCCACGTGGGACACCAGCGCAGAGGGCCTCTGGACACTGGATAAGTCCTTCCCCAGGGCCCAGGAGGCTCCCCAACATGGCGGCCCCCAGGCCACCTACTCCAGCGAGGCTTGGTAGGCCTCAGCTAGGCCACGAGGCCCAGCAATGGATGGCAGCCAGCCAAAGCAGCATGCAAACTGCTCGCCCCCCCCCCCATAGGCAAGCCTCGAAGTCTGCCCAGCCGCTCCTGCTGCAGCAGGCATCAGGGCTGCAATCCAAGTCCTGGTCGCAGCCCTGGAGGCCACAATGACCATGGCCTCAACCTTGGGGGCAGCCAGCCTCCCTCAACACCCCCAGGGGACCAGCGAGGGGGGGTGCGTCCAGTCCGGAGCCCCCCAGCCAGGGCGCAGGCCTCCAGAGAGCCCCAGAAGAACCCCTGGGGGCTCCGGCCTTCCCAACACCCCCACCGAGGCAATGGAGGACTCACCTGGATGACTTCAGGGGGCCTCCAGCCAAGCCTCCCACCTCCCAAGATGGCTGCCTCCTCCGGAGTCTTCAGGGCCAGCGGTGGGCCCCTCCAGGCAATCCTCAGCATTTTCGGGCTTTTCCAGCCCCATCCTGCAGCCTTCGCCCCCTGGTAAGTGTTCTAGTACCAGGGGGGCTTCCAGAAGACTCTTCAGAGCCCCACAGGCCTGGGCCCAGGCCTGGCCCTGAAGCACAGAGGGAGAGGTCCGCCCCCATCGGCTCCTGGGCTGGAATGAGATCTGGGCATGCTCAGCAGTTCGCACATGCTTAGTTCGCTCCACCTGAAAAAGAAAAGAATAATCAGAAAAATACCTACACTGGCCAGCAGAGGGATCCCTCTCCCATTTACTTCAATGGAATCAAAGCAAAGATACCTTGGACAGCAAAATATATCAGCATTTTCTGCCCCAGCTGTGTCTGTTCTCCCAGATAATTTTCAGAAATTACATCTGGCAGGGGATAATTATAATATATGGAACAAAGAGATTCAGGTATGTCTCTGAAAAGAGGGGACCCTAGAAATGGTTTTAGACCCCCCACCTTTCCCTTGGGGACCTCAAGAAAAGTGGTACCACAGGAGAGCCTATACCACTCTACTGAGCTCACTGGATGCTAAATTGTACCCTAGCATACCAGATGGGCTCACAGCTGGTGAAATTTGGGGGTTGTTATATAGCCTATTTAATAGTGATAACTTGGGCTCCACCACAAGACTCACAACTGAGTTCTATAACACCAAGCTAAAATTTGGGGCTAGCATGGCTGAGCATCTGGGAAAGTTGAAGGCACTCAGGGCAGAACTGGTGCTCAGGGACTACCCCGTGACCGAGGCCAACATGATCGCTGTCATTCTGGCATCCCTGGACAAAAGTTGGGGCAATTTTATTGTCTCACTAGAGGGAACCAGAAAGGAAGCCATGACTCTGTCCTACCTCACAGGGAGGCTCAATGAGGAAGACAGGAGGCGTAGAGATGCGGGAGAGTACACCAGGGCCACAACTTATTGCATCAACAGAAGGCACCAGAGTTCAGAGCAGGTTAATGCTCTACCCAAGTGTTTCATCTGTGGCTCTGAGGAGCATCTGAAGAAGGACTGCCCCCATTACCAGCAAGGACCTAAACGTGGCTCCAATCAAGGAAGGGTCAGGGGGCAGAGAAGGGGGCCTGGCAGGGGCAAAGGTGGTGCTAAGGGCAATTTTGTGAATACTAACTATTTCACCCCCACCACAAAGGCTGATGGCCCTACTGGCCTCTGGTTACTGGACTCTGGGGCTTCATCTCACATTGCTAACTTGAGGCAAGGTGTCAGCCTCAGCTTGCCTGCTTCAGCTGCCATAAGAAACGGGGAGGGATTAGTTATGGAGCAAAGGGGGGGAAGGGAGCAGGAGGTGGTTTTGTCTTTGTAGGAGGGGACTTCGTGAGAAACGAAACTGAATCTTCAAAAGGGGATGGCTGACCAACTGTCCGACATTCCTGATGAATGACACTGCCAGACGTGTTGCCACCTGACCTTTGGAAGACCTTTGGATTGGCTGATGATTTATAAACACGAGGGGGGGAAGAAGCTTAGTAGATGCATTTCGCGCGTTTTGCTCACTTCCAGCTTTAACTGGGTTGTTAATCATTTCATATTCAGTAAAAGTACCAAATTCTTCAAAATGCTTGACTTTGGGGTTTTCTTTCCTGGATATTGAAGGAAGCATACCTGACATTAAGCTGGAAGTCACAACCAGTCATCCCGGACAAAAACCGAGGGGACTGTAAATCCAAAATATGTCAGATCGGGGGAGTGATGGAGAAGAGAAGATGGGGGCAGCCAGTTCAACTGCCCTCCAGTCGGAAAAGGAGACTGCAGAATGGTTGGAAAAACTCCATTTGGAGACGGAAGAGGCCAGATGGTCAAAGGGAGTGGGGAGACTGCCGGACTGGGGAGAGGAACCCCGGGGAGTGACAATTTCCAGACCCCGAAAAAGGAGGCAGTGTGGATGCAAGAACAGAAGGAACGTCTCATGATAGACCAAGCCTTGCAACTTATCCGTGATGTAGAGGAAAGCAGAAGAAACCGTGAGTCTTTTGGGATTCCTGGGGAGAAGGAGAGAGAAAGCCCCAGGGGGGAGCCAGGAGAAACAGCCTGTGGGGGAGAGGAAGAGTTTGAGGAGGGAGCATCCCAGACTTCGGCAGCTCGAGGGAGAGATGCAGCCGGCCAGAGAACCCCAGCCTTGCAGGCCCCTCCCTGCAGACGTAAAAAGCCAAAAATCCCCCCCCTTCCTGGGAAGTTTGATGGGAATCCTAAAGCCTTGGGATTTTTCCTGACCCAAGTGTGGAACCACATGCAGGACTGGGGGGAGGACTACGAAACAGAGGCGGCAAAAGTCAGAAGCGTCGCGAATGTCCTAGAGGGAGTAGCTGCTGTTTGGATGGTGGTTCTCCACAATAATAACTCCCCCTTGCTGAGAAATTACAACCAGTTCATGAGGGCCCTTAGAAGGCGTTTTGAAGACCATCTAGCTGAACGAAAGGCGAGACTCAGAATGAAGAGCATTCAGCAGGGCCGGAGGCCGGTGGCAGAGTATATCCAAGAGTTTCGTGAACTGGCACCCTATATGACAGGCTGGTCAGAAATGGCTCTTTTGGAGAGTTTCAAAGATGGATTGAATGAAGAGATATATCGAGACTGCAGGAGCATGGGGGTCCCCGATGATTTGGATAGATGGTACATAGTAGCTGAGGATGTGGAGATCGAGCTGAAACTGAGCAAACTCCGAGGAAGGCGGATGGGGGACCAGTCATCCTCTTTCTACCGTAAGGGGGCGCCCAAGATGACTGGCGGGAAGACCGAATCCAAACCCAAGTCAAAGCCCTTCACCTGTTTCAAATGTAGGAAGGAGGGTCACCGGGCGGCTGAATGTTTCTCCAAACCACCGCCAAAAGCCACCGGGGCAAGCCAAAAGAAAGGCGATAAAATACCCGCCAAAACCCGCGGCACCCCGCCCTGAAAGGAGAAGTCGTTGAGTTCACTCCCCGGAACCAGGTGAGTTGGGAACTCCGACCAACGATGACGACAGCGAGACGGACTCCGACTCTGACACCAACGAACGGGTGAGTCACACGGAAGAACCCTTACTCATCCCCGTAGAAGTAAGGGTGCCCTCCACAGGAACTCACGCGCAATTGTTAGCCCTGTTGGACTCGGGGTGCACTAGGTGCATAATTAGCCCCAAAGTAGTGGAGGAAATGGGACTGAGACTGAAAACTTTAAAAAGACCCATTGCATTTTGTCAATTAGACGGGTCGATTGCAGGAGGGGCAAGAGGAGCCCAGCTAGTTTTATGACCGAACCCCTTGAACTGCAGTTGGGGAATCATGTAGAGAAGCTCAGCTTTATTGTAGCACCTGGCATGGAAAGGCCCCTCATTCTAGGACTGCCCTGGCTTCGTAAATGGAATCCACGAGTAAATTGGAAAACGGGAGTCCTGCGCATCCGTACGGCAAAACCAACTCCGGAAAAGGAAGGCCCCTCCCTAAGGGACGACATAAGACCAGAAAGGGGGGCAGTAGCCATTAACTATATTGAGGGAGAAGAGAAAATTCCAAAGGAATATTGGGACCTCAAGGAAGTGTTTAGTGAAAAAGCATCGGATGCTCTGCCTCCCCACAGGGCCACTGACTGCACCATTGAAATACTCCCAGGGGTGAAGCTTCCCAAACCAAAATATACCCCATGACACCTCGAGAATTGGGGGAATTGCGAAATTTTATTGACAAAAACTTAGAACGGGGATTCATCGAACGAGCCAAACCCAAGGTGGCAGCGCCAGTAATGTTCCACGAAAAGAAAGATGGATCCTTCAGATTAGTAGTTGATTATAGAAACATAAACGCCATTTGCGTGGAAAATGTCTATCCCCTCCCACTTATGAAAAACATGTTGGCCCATTTAGGGAAGGGAAATTTTTTTACCAAACTTGATTTAAGAGAGGCATACTACCGAGTGAGAATAAAAGAGGAAGATGAATGGAAGACAGCATTTAATTGCCCACTGGGATGTTTCCAGTTTAGAGTACTCCCTTTTGGACTACAGGGGGCCCCGGCTGTATTCATGCAGCTGATCAACGAAGTGTTGCATGAGCACCTATATAAGGGGGTGTTGGTCTATTTGGACGATATTCTAATTTATTCTGACAACATGGCCGACCATGTAAGATTGGTTCGAGCGGTCTTGAATAAACTCAGAGCAGCTGAACTCTATGCCAAACTTTCTAAATGTGAATTTCATCAAGACAAAATCGACTATCTTGGATATCGTTTATCGCATGAGGGAATAGAGATGGACCCGGAAAAGGTCCGGGCAGTAATGGAATGGGCCGCACCACGCACCCGTAAACAGTTACAGAATTTCTTAGGGTTTGCTAATTTTTATAGACAATTTATCCCCTCTTTCACGAAAATCGCACTGCCAATTACAAACTTGCTAAAAACCAAAGGGGAAGTAAAACCCAAACCCTCGAAACCAGTAGAATGGACCATGGACTGTCAGGCCGCTTTCGAAAAACTGAAACGATTGTTTGCAGCTGAACCTGTGCTCAAACACCCCGACATAGAACAACCTTTTGTAGTACAAGCTGATGCTAGCGACGTCGCCGTAGGAGCAATACTCTTGCAAAAGAATGAGAATGGAATATTACAACCCTGTGCTTACACATCCCGTAAACTATCCGAGACAGAAAGGAGATGGGGCATATGGGAGAAAGAAGTGTTTGCAGTTAGATGGGCGCTGTTAACATGGAGACAATTTTTAGAAGGGGCGAAACACCCTTTCGAGGTGTGGACTGACCATAAGAATCTAGAAGCATTAAAATCACCACGCAAACTATCACCCAAACAGGCACGCTGGGCCCAACATTTCAAGCGATTCAATTTCACTTTACGTTACCTTCCTGGGGGAAAAAATTTCATGGCGGACGCACTTTCCAGATTGCCACAGTACAACAGCATCAAGAAGGAAGTGGTTCAACCAATGATCCCCTTAACGCAATTGGCAACACCTGTCACTACCAGAGCGCAGAGTAAAACCGATCCAGAACTCTCGGGGGATTTACTCGAAAAGTTACGAGAAGCGCTAAAAGCTGACGAGTGGTTTAAAATCCACTCGAATGAATGCACACTTCGCGACGGACTAGCTTGGGTTGGATCGAAATTGTATGTTCCGACCACATTAAGGCCAACTATATTGAAATATGCTCATGATGCCAAGGCCGCAGGACACTTTGCGTTTGTCAAGACTTTACATCTTGTTAAGAGACAGTTTTGGTGGCCTGCACTTAAAAAGGACATAGAGGCATATGTGGCTAGCTGTCCAGTATGTGCCTCGGCTAAAAGACCTCCAGGAAAATCCCCTGGATTACAGCAAAGTGTGGCTAGACCGAACGCCCCATGGAAGGAAATATCTATGGATTTTATTGTGGACTTACCAGACAGTGAGGGCTGCACTGTCATTTGGGTAGTAACTGATTTGTTTTCCAAACAAGTACATTTCATCCCTTGCTCAAAGATCCCTTCAGCAAAAACCCTCACAAAATTGTTTATTCGGCAGATTTACCGACTACATGGATCTCCGAAAAGAATAATTTCTGACAGGGGTGTGCAATTTACTTCCAGTTTCTGGAGAGAGTTTTTGAAATTGATAGGCTCCGCACAAGGGTTGAGTTCCAGTCACCACCCTCAGACAAATGGTGCTTATGAAAGAACCAATGGGGTGCTCGAACAATACCTTAGGTGTTACGTAAATTACCAACAAGACAATTGGGTAGACTTGTTGCCATTTGCAGAAGTGGCATATAACAATTCTGTACACAGTAGCACCGGATTCACCCCTTTTAAGGTCGCATCGGGCCAGGATTTTGTACCCATTCCCGAGTTACCTCAAGATGATCCCCAAAATCCCTCCTTGATGGATTGGATTGAACAACTAAAGAGCACCTGGGCAGTGACTCGGAAGGCATTAGATGAAGCACACCGAGCTCATAAAGCGCAAGCCGATAAGAAAAGGTCCCCAGCTCACATTTATAAAGTGGGGGACAAAGTCTATTTGTCTACCAAATACTTACAAACCACCCAGAAGTCCAAAAAACTGGGGCCTAAGTATGTAGGACCATTCCGTGTGATTAGACTGATTAAACCAGTGACAGTTGAATTGGAATTTCCAAAAACCTTGAGACGAATACATCCTGTATTTCATGTTAGCTTATTGAAACCTGAACACTCATCTCCCCTAAGGGCTGATCAAAGCACCCCTCCAATTCCCATTCTCATAGAGGGGAGCAACATTTTGAGGTTAAGGAAATCTTGGATTCTAGAAAACACCATGGTAAAGTCCAATATCTGATTGCCTGGAAACATTTCCCTCTATCTCAGGCTGAATGGGTAAATAAACGGGATGCCCGAGCTCCCAAGAAAGTACAACAATTCTATGCCAAATACCCAGATAAACCATAAACCATAATTATTGTACATATTCTGTTTCTCTCTCTTTCCTTTCCTTTTATTTAGGACTAACGCCTCTTCTGCAAGGGGGGCCGAATGTCAGCCTCAGCTTGCCTGCTTCAGCTGCCATAAGAAACAGGGAGGGATTAGTTATGGAGCAAAGGGGGGAAGGGAGCAGGACACAAGGCTTTAAAAGGTTAAGGAGAATTAACTCCTCCATTAAGGTTGCAAATGGTAACAATGCTTTGGTTGTTGGGGAGGGCACTGTCTCTGTACCAGGGCTGGGCAATGTCGAAGGTGTATTACACGCTCCCTCTATAGCCAATAACCTGTTAAGCATAACCAAGCTATGTGATGATGGCAGGGTGGAGGTATTGTTTCGCAAAGGGGGAGGTCATGTCACTCGAGACAAAAGGGTCATTGGGAATGTTACCATTAGAAATGGTTTGCCATATCTCTCCCCCGAGTACCCAGCCACAGGAGACAGCTCACAGGGTGCCACCCCAGAAGGGGCCTGCGCTCAGAGAGAGAGAAAGGCTCCACAGCCAGCTCCCAGGCTGTCAAAGATGCACAAGACTGAGGCAGTTGTGCCCACGCCGCCTCAACCGTACCACGGCCTTCCAAGGCCAATGCGGGCAAGAAACCCGAGCCTCAGCAGGCACCTAAGGCAGGTAAGCCCAAAGAAGGGCCTAAGGTGCCAGCACCGCCCAAGGCAACCAGAGCCAAGGGGGTGTCAGTGGGAAAGCCGCTGCATACTAAATGTGCCCACCTCTTACATCAGAGGTTAGGCCATGCGAGTTTCCCAGTGGTTAAAAAGATGGGGGAATTCGCTGAGGGGATTCATCTCCAGGATTGTGAGGTGTTTCTGGACTGTGCCATCTGTAAGAGGGCAAAGAGGAAGGCCGCCCCCATACCTAAGGCGTCACTGCGTAAAACTCAATATCCATATCAATTAATACATGTTGATGTGGTTGGGCCATTTACACCGTCCCTAGGAAAAAGGCAGTATTTCCTCACTGCTGTCGATGATTTCTCGAGGTATGGCCATGTGTATACCCTCACAGAAAAGTCTGAAGCCTTTGATGCCATAAAATCATTGTACAACTAAGTGGAAACTCAGTACAAGACCAAGATCGCACAGCTGCAGAGCGACCGGGGGGCTGAGTTCATGTCCCGAAAGTTCCAGGACTGGATAAGGCACAAGGGCATACACCATTTTCGTACAGCGCCTTTTACACCTGCACAGAACGGTGTGTCAGAAAAACGTAACGGCATTCTGCAGACCATGGTGTGCAGCCTGATTGCGGATGCTGGGGTTGTGGAATTGTACTGGGCGGAGGCGGTACACTACGCCAACTACACCCTGAACCACACCTGGAGCAGCGTTGTGAACCAGACCCCATATTTTCTGGTCCACGGTAGGAAGCCAAATTTGGGACACTTGCGTGTGTTTGGCTCCTATGCTTGGGTGCACATCCCCAAGTAGCTGCGGAAGAAGGGGAGATCCGTCTCCCAGAGACTGAGGTTCTTGGTGATCTGTCCCCGTAGTACCCACACACACACAAACACAGCCAGCCGAGGGTTAAGGAAACACTTTGGAACGCACCCAGGTCTTATCTCCCACTTGGCAGCGATAGACACACCGTCTGCCAAATGCCTTTATTTTCACAAACAGAAAGATAAGATACTTAACGTGCAAAAAGTCCAAGCAGAAATAATATTTCTCTCCGCAGTTCCGAACGAGGCTTTAGTGACTATCCAAGGTTTACTTTTGTTCGTCACAAGGATCACTGACCACTACCCTCTATTATATAGTCTCTGGGGTGTGGTCCAGTGACTCAGTTCTAATCCCTAGCACGCCTCCTAAGCTGCTGCAAACGTTTATCACGCCTTCGGAGGCGTGCGTCCAGGAATGATGTTTCTTTGTCACTCTGATCTGAGCCAGCTGTCTCCCTACTGATCTCCTCTCCCTCGACCGGCACCTGAGACAATGCCAGAGGGGAGGGGCCTGGAGAGGGAGGCCTGGCTGACTCCTCTTCCTCATGCTCGGAGCTTTCTTCCTCCGATGGGACAGGCTCAGAGGGCGGGGCCACAACATTGGGCTATGCCCCTGGCTCCAAGGCCTACCGATTCCTGGGAGAAGGGGGCAGGACTGTGACCTCCCAATCTGCCTCCTTCGAAGAGGACTCCAGTTGGACCCAGATCCACTCAAATGATCTGGGTCCATACATTAACCGGCCCAGCAAAGCTGCACCAACCATGACACTGCCTGAGACAACCACAGACCCTGCCACCGATGAGAGCGAGGAACAGGACGAAGAGGTCAGCCTACCTGGTCCAGATGAGGAGGATGAGCCGTCCAGTCCTGAGGGGGGAAGACACGCCATCTTCACCTGACTCTTCGCCTCCAGCGACGCTCCAGAGGCCCATGATGCCCAACGCCTGGAACCGAGGGCCTCCACATCCCGGTCGTGAACAGCCAGTTGGCAAAGAACCCGCAGAGGAGAAGGGTGGTGAGTGGCAGGAGGTCAGAAGGTCAAAGTGGTCCAACAAGGGGGTCCCACCTAAGAGAATTGACACATCGCATCCGTCAACAGCGTCGTGGTCACCCCAAAGACTTTCTCTGCAATCCAAGAGCTGCCCATTAAAGAGCGGGAGAGGTGGCAGGACACCTGCTCACCCTCTCAGACATATTCACTGTCACCTGTCATTGGCTGGCAAGAAGGGAATTGTTAGGTGTTTTGTGCCAGCCATGGCAGTCTCTTCAAAGGCCACCAGATGGGGGCAAAGAGGCACCTTTGATCCCACTGGTGGGTCAAGGGGCTCCGGCCCCTGCAGCCCCATTGGAGAAAGTTAATGGCCCTCCGGCCCCCTCACACACCTTGTAAGGGAGGGGCCAGGGGCCCCTATAAGAACCTCTGCACAGGGGCTGCTCCTTCCCTTTCCTTTTTTACCCTTTCCCTTTTGCCTGCTCTTGTTCTAGTCTCCTATGGGACTGACCCATGGGCTCAATCCAGGCATGGATGCCTCCATGCCTGGGACCTTATTTTACCCCACTTTTACTTCTAAATAAAGACTTGATTTGATTGCATCCTTGCGTGCTGACCTTTTCTTGGAAGCGCCCTCAACGAACCATCATTCTTCGTGAGATCCCTCACAAGCAGTGTGGCTATCATCACTCTTCTCTGCATAGACAGGTAAGGGCTAATCTACATCTAAGATGGGGTAGGTGGGGCTAAAACCTTTTTCCTGAGAGAGGTAGAACAGCAGGAGTCAGCAGCCACCTGACTGTGAGGAATGGTTATAAGTCACTTTTTTCAGTGCTGTTATAACTTTGCTCACTAAACGAATGGTTGTAAGATGAGTACTGCCTGTAACCCAGCAGCCACTTACCACCAACTACAGATAGTCCTCAACTTACAACTACAATTGAGACCAGAATTTATGTTGCTAAGCAAGGTGGTCATGTCTGATTTTACAGCCTTTTTGCCATAGTTGTTAAGTGAATCATGCAGTTGTTTAAGGAATCCAGCTTCCCACATTGACTTTGCTTGTTGGAAGCAGGCTGGGAAGGTCACAAATGGGAATCACATGACCCAGGAATGCTACAACCATCATAAATACGTCAGTAGCCAACTGCCTGAATTTTGACCATGTGACGTGAATGCTACAATGTTCAAAAGGAAATGGTTGTAAATAACTTTTTCAATGCTGTTGTAGCTTTGAATGGTCACTAAACAAATAGTTATAAGTTGAGGACTATCTGTATATCTTGGATCAGGTCCTTCCAGAAGGTCAGTCTGGCAGAGCATTAGCTAACCTTCCTCTGCACTTTGGCAGCAACCACGTGAAGGAGATGGGAAATGTTCTTGCTGGTCAGAGGAATAAGGGAATGCTGGCATGTCTTACCAACAACATAAATCACATTTTCACAACCTTGTGGTTCTTGAAGTGCTTTAGCACCCTCAATATGATATGTTTGGGGGAAGGTGGCTGATGGGAAAGTTTCTGGCAGTTTCCAGAGGAGCAGGGAGGTCAGAGGAAGGAGGGAAAGATGCAGGGAGGTTGGGGCTGCTAAGTGAGACCATCAGCTCAGATTAATCTGTGCACTATTAATGTGCACAGTGTGCACTATTACTAAGGTGACCAGACGTCCCGCTTTTGGCGGGACAGTCCCGCTTTTGAGCAATTTGTCCCGCGTCCCGCGGCGTTTCAAAAAAGTCCCAATTTTTCTTGAGCCCCAGCGGATGGCTAGAAGAAAAAAAAACTGTTTAAACTCTTGCCCGGGGCTTCAAAGGGCCGCCCTACAGGCAATCAGTGTAAAGCAGGTTTTTTTCCCCCTAACTAAGCTTCAGAAACGAAACCGAAACCAGGGTCTTTGGTGCAGCGTGACAAAATGAGGCAGAGAGAGATTTATTTTTATTTTTATTTTTCCTCCCCAAAAAAGGTAGGTGAAAAACTGCAAACAATGGGAAATTTAGGAGGAGAGTTCAAGATTTTAAAACACAAAGGAAAAAAAGCTGTATTTAACTAGGGAATTGTAATAATTGAGATACTATTAATTGTATATTGTGTTGAAAGAAGAAATGGTTAAGTTGTGGTTCGGAGGAATATATGGGAGAAATTATTTGGTTTATTATTATTGGTAAATATAATTAATTGATTTGTAAGAAATTGGATTGCATGGAAATAATTGGAATATTCATGTTCATATTGATTAATATACAAAAAAGATAGTTTTATAACTAATTGATTTATATTAAAATGTTGAATTTGTATTAAACAACTGTATTACATAATTACATAATTAAACAATGTGAGGATGGATATAAAAATAGATGACAATGGGAAGGGGTATAATATAGAATAGAAGGGAAAAATTGAATTTGATTAAGATTAGAGATGAGGATGAAGGGTAATATTGGTTTTTTAAAAAAATAGATGAGGAATAAATATGGCAAAAAGGAAATATAGAAATTGTAAATTTAATTGAAATGACTAAACGCTGTTTAAATTTGTGAACCGGCCAAATACTCTGTTCAAAGAAAATACATTGTATGTTTGTATGTGTGTTTCTAATTATTGCTATTTATTCATATTTGTTCTCTTTTATTCTTTAAAGTTTAACAATTCATTCTTTATCTTAATATCTTTATATTTGCTTGGGGTTGGCTTTCTTCCCTTTCATCTTTTTTATTGTACAGCAATCTTTCTCCTCAAACCTACCACCTCTCTCTTTTCTTTCCTTCTTACTTTCTCTTCCCCCACCCTCTTTTTCTCCTCCCTACTTCCTCTTTCTTTCTCCTTCTCCTCCTCTCTTCCTCCCTCTCTTACCCTCACTCCTACTCTAATTTCCATTCCTTCATCCCTCTCTATTGCTGTAATCCTTTAATGCATATGGACTACTTAGAGGGCTGAAAAAGTTATTTTTGACTGGTCCTCACACTTTTGACCAGTCCTCGAACTTATGACTGTCCTCACATTTTACATTTTTGCCCTATCTTGTCATCATGTTGAAGAGAAGCAGTTGTGAAATGAGTGACATGGTTGTTAAGAATGCTGCATGGGCATAAATGTGAGGATGGTCATAAGTGTGAGGACCAGTCAAAAGTCGAGGACCTGTCAGAAATGACTTTTTTCAGCTCTCTGGTTAGTCCTTTTGTGCATATGGACTACTCAGAGGGCTGAAAAGGTTATTTTTGACTGGTCCTCACACTTTTGACCAGTCCTCGAACTTACGACTGTCCTCACATTTTACATTTTTGCCCTATCTTGTCACCATGTTGAAGAGAAGCAGTTGTGAAATGAGTGACATGGTTGTTAAGAATGCTGCACGGGCATAAATGTGAGGATGGTCATAAGTGTGAGGACCAGTCAAAAGTGCGAGGACCTGTCAGAAATGACTTTTTTCAGCTCTCTGGTTAGTCCTTTTGTGCATATGGACTACTCAGAGGGCTGAAAAGGTTATTTTTGACTGGTCCTCACACTTTTGACCAGTCCTCGAACTTACGACTGTCCTCACATTTTACATTTTTGCCCTATCTTGTCACCTTGTTGAAGAGAAGCAGTTGTGAAATGAGTGACATGGTTGTTAAGAATGCTGCACGGGGCATAAATGTGAGGATGGTCATAAGTGTGAGGACCAGTCAAAAGTGTGAGGACCTGTCAGAAATGACTTTTCAGCCCTCTGAGTAGTCCCTATACACATAGCCATGGCCACCCGGTCACATGACCAGGTAGCCACGCCCACCCAGTCACATGGCCTCCAAGCCACGCCCACACAATAAGCCACGCCCACAATGGTGTCCTTCTTACCAATGTTAAAATCTGTTCACCTTACCCTATAGACATAGCCATGGCCACCCGGTCACATGACCAGCTAGCCACGCCCACAAAATAAGCCACGCCCACAATGTCCCTCTTTACCAATGTTAAAATCTGGTCACCTTAACTATTACCAGCTTTCCAGATGTGGGAAACAGCATATTGTTTTTAAAGAATTGTAAGAAGACATGCTGGCCATATACATTGTATATGTTTCTAATCTCATGAGATAGGCTGACGTTTAAGAATTGTATGAAGGAAGGCCTCTGCTATGCTAGAAACCAGCCTTAACCAGAATTTGCTGATATGATAGTTACTCTAGAGACAACCCCTAGGAACTAGGACCATAAAAGGTAATTTGTTAATAAGAGCAGGGGGTGATAGAATTAGAGTAGTGGCAGGGGGTGGAGATAATGTATTCATTTTAGACACTTTGGATAGGTAGTGACATGATTACTGAGCCAATGAGGAAAAGGTGGGAGGTAAATTTGTAACGATACTAGAGAATATAAAGCAAATGTATTGATGATTTAGAGCAGGGTCCTCAAACTTTTTAAACAGGGCCAATTCACAGTCCCTCAGACTGTTGGGGGGCCAGAGTGGGTGGGTGTGGCTAGGTCATGTGATTGGGTGGGCGTGGCCAATTTAACAGTCCATTAAACAATGCACACAAATTAAACTTTAATTTGTTTTGCTCCTGGGGGTGTTTTATTTGCTTTTGTTTGCATGCTGCTCTTTTGGTTGACTTTTCTTTTTACTAGATCATTTTTTCAGTTGTTTAGGAGTCTAGTTGTCCACTTCAGAAAACTCAGTTTTGCAGCAATTCTTCTCAGCCCCGAGGAGCTTGAGAAATCTCTGTCTTTCTTCTCTCTTTCTGCCTCTGCCTCTCTTTCTCTCTCTTCCTCTCTCTCTTTATCTATCTTCTGGAGGTGGGGGAGGTGAAAAACAGGCCATTTTCAGAAGATTTTTGGCCTCCTGGGGCGTCTGTGTGCCCCGTTTTTCACCTCCTCCGCCTCCAGCAGCATTCTGCAGGCCAAAAACAGGCAAATACGGCCCATTTTTTGGCCAAAAACTGACCGTTTTTGCCTGTTTTTTGGCCTCCTGTGGCATCTGTGCATCCCGTTTTACACCTCACCTACCTCCAGAATGTCTCTGCAGGCCAAAATTGTTGGCCTTACCTTTCAGTTCCAGCCCACAGGGCTAGCGAAGGTATGAAGGGTAGGTGGGATGATGTGGACGGAGCAGGCTCGCGGTCCTGCGAGGGCCGGATTAATGGCTTTGGCGGGCCACATGCAGCCCACGGGCCATAGTTTGAGGACCCATGATTTAGGGTATGTCCACTGTATCTGCGTGTGCGTGGTCCACCGTCTTTGCAAAGTGAAGAGTAAAATTACCATTGTTTTCTCTTGGACGTTTTGGCTGGTTTTTAATTTTTATTTATAACTTTATTTCAAAACTAGACAACGAATCCCACACAGGGTTTTATATAAGCATGTTCCCAGCTTTATTTGAAAATGTCAGAGATTGAATCTGTAACCCAAGCAGGCCTCTAGACCAGTTTCTCAACTCTTACACTGTCTTCTATCTCCAACATTGGTCTCATTAACTGCCCTGTAGAAAATGCATGTAGGCATGCAGGTAATCACAAAGGATGAGTTTTCTTATCCAATCTATGTTTGTAATATATATTTAGTCATGTTTTCTATAAGTGATGAGCCTTCATGTCTCTTCTCAAGATATGTAGCAGTGGTGTACTCATCTACCATTGCCCAGAGACGAACCTTGCGTTGCACAATGATGATCAATGTTGGCATATGGGTTGGAAGCTTGATTCTGGCTATTCCCGCTATGCTGTACACCCGGATATTTTGTGACAACAAGACAGAGATCTGCCTTATAGACTTGCCCATAGCGTATACTGGTACACCCTCTATCAATCCTTAATAGCATTCCTCCTGCCTTTGCTGGCCATTACTGTTGTGATCGCAGCTGCCCGGCAACTGGGATGCCGCCAGCGGATTGGCTAGAGGGGTGTGGTTAACACACGCGGGAGAGTTACTGTGTTCTTATTGGTTAGTTCACTGACAGCTCGGGGTATAAAAGAGCTGTCAGTGCGGAAGTTGCTGTTCTGTTCTGTCTGTTCGTATCATTGCTGTTGAGGTAAATAAACAGTTCTTGTTATGCAACCCCTGCCTCATTAATGTCTCAGCTAAGGACAGAATACTGGCGACGAAGGTGGGATTTAACCCCTGCTGAGACCCTATAGAGAGACTGAGATGGCCCCACCAACATTTGCTCCCTATGATGCCCTCGCAGAGACGTGGGATGCCTATATGGAGAGATTCGAATGCTTCCTGGAAGCAAATGATTTCACTGATCTCTCCAGCGGCAGAAAAAGGGCGCATTTCTTAAATTCTTGCGGCCCTGAGATATTTGCAACCACCCGAGCCTTATTCGCTCCCGCCCCTGTGCACACCACTTCTTAGGACTCGTTACGCGAAAAGCTGAAGAACCATTACTCCCCGGCCCCTTCTAAAATAGCCCGTCGGTTCCAGCTGTGACAAGTTATACAGGAGGAGGGGGAGTCAGTAAATCATTACATGGCTTGTCTGAGAACGGCCGCTCTGGATTGCGAATATAGAGATTTGGACGACGTGCTGGTGGAATAGCTGGTGTGCGGGGTGAGGGACATTCGACTGCAGAGGCGGTTGTTAGCTAAGAAAAACCTAGATTTGCAGACCACCATAGAAGAAGCCCAGGCGGCAGAGATGTCTGAAAAATCCACCGCTGACATCAGGAAATCCTTCCCTGCATCATCCCAGGCGGCTGCCTCAGTTCACCAGTAGGACATCGCCTCAGACGACTCCACGGATGAGGAGGAGATGGGCGTGAGCCGCCTGCGAGCATCAAAAAACCGTCGGAAGAGCCCCCGAGTGAAGGCGGAGCCTCAAGCCGGTTGCCTCAGTTGTGGAGAGGGGTACCCCAGAGCGACCTGTCATTTCAGGTCAGCTGTTTGCCGCCGTTGTGGTAAACGCGAAGGTCTGCCGTTCAATGGCAAAGTCGTCTGCTGCATCAAAGCCTTGCCGTCCGGGAAAGGAGAGCTGTGTTCCCACTTTCCGTGCACGCTGCGTTAATGAGGTGACCACACGCTCCTCCGCGCTGAATGGCGCCAAGCTTTCCATGACAGTAAAAATAGAAGGCGCCTCCTGTCAGATGGAATTGGACACTGGGTCTGTGAAATCCATAGTGTCCTGGGGGTTTTGAGATGTTTGATCCCGACAATTACCAAGAGTCTGCTACAGCAGTGCCCCATCAGACTTCGGGACTATCAGGGAAATTCTATCCCCATCCTGGGACAGGGGCGATTCCTAGTGGAATCAGATGGTTTTGTGGGGCATTTACCTTTAATTGTGGTCAAAAGGGCCCTGCCTAGTTTATTAGGCATGGATTGGTTCAGGGCGCTGGGGTTGCAAATATCTGGCGTACACACTACGTCGGTTCTGGGGGCGGAAGGCCTTTTCACTGAATTTGCCGACGTTTTTGCAGGTACATTGGGAAAATATATAGGGTCCCCCATTTCTTTGAACCTGGATCCTAATGTGGCGCCAATAAGGCTTAAGCCACGCAGAGTCCCTCTTGCTCTTAGGCCTAAAGTGGATGCAGAGCTGGACAAGCTCATTGCCCAAGGGGTCCTAGAGCCAACTGACCACTCCAAATGGGAAACTCCCATAGTGGTTCCCATTAAGTCTGACGGCTCCGTGAGAATATGCGGTGATTTTAAATGTACCTTAAATAGGGCCATGCAAGCAAATTCCTACCCAGTATCTGTAGTCCAACATCTGCTACACTCTTTGGGGCCCAGTTCCATATTCACTAAATTAGATTTGGCCCAAGCATATCAGCAGCTCCCAGTGGACGATGCCTTGGCCGAGGCTCAAACCATCGTCACCCACCGGGGAGCCTTCAAATGCCGGCGCCTACAATTTGGGATCTGTGTTGCCCCTGGTCTTTTTTTTTTTTTTTTATTGAAAAAGTTTTATTAAAGAAAAAACACAGTTTTCCCACAACCCTCCCACCCAACCCCCCTCCCCCTCCCCGACTTCCCAGAGCAGAACACAAGGTATTTCTATTAACTTTTAACAATAAACTAAATTGCTTAACTATCCATTAAACTAACAACCTCTAAAAATAATTCTTAACCCCCCATAGATAAAATCCTGCTTCTTGGATATAATACTTCTAATATCACTCATATAACGCTTATACAATTAAAAATTCATTCATAAGCTATTTGATATTTTTTAGTCTGATACTTATTTTGAATATAATCAATCCATCTTCTCCAGTCCTGTATATATCTTTCTTGTGTATGATCCTTCAAATATGCTGAAATTTTAGCCATTTCAGCTAAGTTAGTTACTTTCAATATCCAAGCATCAATAGTAGGCAAAAAGTCCTTCTTCCAATGTTGTGCTATCAACAATCTTGCTGCTGTTATTAAGTTCAGAATCAGTTTAGTCTCTACAACTGTACAGTCCGTAGTTATACCCAGTAGAAACAAGTGCGGAGTAAATTTCAATCTTTTTTTTTAAATATTCTGCATCACCCACCAAATCTTTATCCAAAATGCTTTGATTTTTTTACAAGTCCACCATATATGATAATAAGTTGCATCATCACAGTCACATCTCCAACATTTAGCTTGCACATTAGGATACATACATGATAGTTTTTTGGGATCTAAGTGCCATCTATAAAACATTTTATAAAAGTTTTCTCTTAAATTTTGTGCTTGTGTAAATTTCACATTTCTAATCCAAATCTTTTCCCAAGTCTCCATCATCACTGGCTCTTGAAAATTTTGTGCCCATTTAATCATGCAATCTTTAACCAATTCCGTCTCAGAGTCTATTTCCAATAAGGCATTATACAACCTTTTGATATGCATTTGTTTTTGATCTCTAATTTGTTTTACCAAATTTTCCTCATTTTGCACAAAGCCAGTTTTTTGATCTAGCTTGAAGCTGACTATACTGAAACCATGTGTGAATTATATCTTCTTCTCTCAATGTATCTAAAGATTTCAAATATAATACCCCCCTTTCCATAACAAGAAGCTCTTTATAAGTAATCACCTCCTGTTTTTGTTCTATACTTATATTTTCTATTGCATGTCTAGGATTTTCCCATACAGGTATCTTATAATTTAACTTGTATTGATATTTTTTCCAAACCCTCAACAAAGCATTTCTAAGTATATGAGCCTTAAATACTTTATCCACTTTTTTGTCATATAACAAATAGGCATGCCATCCATATAGTAAATCATTACCTTCCAGATTCAACATTCTCCCTTCAGTTAAGTTAAACCAATCACTAATTTGTGATAAGACTGCTGCTTCATAATATAATCTTAAATTAGGCATTTTAAGACCGCCCCTTTCACGTGTATCTTATATAATTTTCATCTTTATTCTGGGTTTTTTCCCAGCCCAAATAAAAGTATTTCCTTTTCTGCCTTTCTGCCATTCTCTCAAATTTTCATCTTTCTTAAGCACTGGTATCATTTGGAACAAGAATAAAAATCTGGGTACACATTCATTTTAATTGCTGCAATTCTTCCCAATAAAGACAGCTGTAATTTTCTCCAATTCTCCATATCCTTCTGTAGCTTGTGCCAGAGATCTTCATAGTTATTTTTGTATAATTTTGTATTTGAAGCTGCTATATACACTCCTAAATATTTAACCTTTTTAACTATCTCAAACCCCGTTATTCTTCCTAGTTCGTCTCTTTCAAGTACAGACATGTTTTTGGTTATCATCTTTGTCTTATATGAGTTGACTTTAAATCCTGATACTTTCCCATATTGATCAATTAAATCCAATATATATGGAATCGACTCTATGGGTTGAGATAAGGTAACAACCAAATCATCTGCAAATGCTCTTAATCTATAATCTTGATGTCTGATTACAATACCCTTCAATTTTTCTCAGTCACGTATCTTATTCAGTAGCACTTCCAGAGTCAAGATAAACAACAATGGGGACAGAGGACACCCCTGCCTTGTTCCTTTCTCAATTCTAAAAACCTCTGTTAAACCTCCATTAACTATTATTTGTGCTGTTTGCTGCTGGTATATCACTCTAATTGATTGTGTAAAATACTCCCCAAAATGCATTTTCTCTATTATTTTGAACAAAAATTGCCAGTTCAAACGATCAAATGCATTCTCTGCATCCAAAAATATAAATGCTGCAGGGACTTGGTTATTTTTTTCCAAATATTCCAATAGGTTTACAATTTGTCTAACATTATATTTCATTTGTCTCCCTTTTATGAACCCTGACTGGTCATTATGAATTATTTGTTGCATAACTGGCATTAATCTATTAGCTAATATCTTAGCAAAAATCTTATAATCGGTATTCAAAAGTGAAATTGGCCTAAAGTTCTCAGGTTTGATACAGTTTTGATCCTCCTTTGGAATTAGTGAAACAAAAGCTGTTTTTCAAGAAGGTGGTACTCCTCCCCCTACCTGTATTTTATTAAATAGGATTTTAAGTGGTTCTAACATTTCAGATTGTAAATGTTTATAATAAACAGCTGTTAGTCCGTCTGTTCCCGGAGCCTTACCTATTTTTAATTATTTAATTACCCCAGCAATTTCCTCAGAAGTTATTGGCTGGTTCAATCTTTCTCTCTGTTCCAGCGTTAGTTCAGGAATGTCTATCTTTAAATATCTATCAATATCAACATCTTGAATTGAGTCTTTAGCATATAACTTTGTATAGAAATCCAAAAAAGCCTTTTTAATTAAATTCTGTTAGTAAATCTCCTTACCTCTAAATTCTATCTTGTCTATAGTATGTGATTTTTGCTTTTTCATCATCGTGTAAGCCAGCTATCTCCCAGGTTTATTGGCATTACAGAATGTATTATGTCTAGCATATTGTATACTGGTTGCTACTTG